ACAATGCAGGCATAAGTGAAAGTAGTATAAGTGCTAGACAGACTAGGCTAGCTAATGTCTGCACAAGAGGTCGGGCCCCTTTTTAGCTGCGAGAGCCAAAAACGATTAATGCCACTAGGATTTGTCTGAAAGAGAAACAATCATTAAAAGAGGTCAGCCACCATTAGTTCCTGACCTCTGCCCTAAACCATAACAAAACAGTTAGAAGTTGCATTACGATTCTGCCTCCTCTCACCTGTACAGGATCGAGGCTCTGAGAATCACAATCTCTTTTTCAGTGTGACTGTACCACTGCATCTGTGAACTGAAAAAGATTCATACCCATCACTGACACGCTGACAAGAACCAGCAAGTACGATCACATTTGTCCAGTCCTCAGGTCTCTGCACTGGCTTCCTGTGGCTCAGAGAATAGACTTTAAAGCAGCTCTGCTTATGTACAAGTCTCTTCATGGCCTCGCACCAAAGTACATCTGTGACATGTTAGTACCATATGAACCAACCTGGACTCTGAGGAGCACAGGGACTGGCCTCCTGCTGGGACCCTGAGGAGCACAAGGACTGGCCTCCTGCTGCTGTCCAGAGTCAGAACAAAGCATAGGCAGGCAACCTTTTAGATTCCATTTCAGTCTTCCTGAAAATGTGAGACAGGTTAACAACAGTTCTTTTTAACTGTGTGTACAACTGAGGGATTTTTTATTCACTCTTCTTATTGTACTGTGATTATTTATTTATTATTATCAATGCCTTGTGTGACTTTGTTGTGTTCAGCACTTTGAGTTGCCTTGTGTCTGAACTGTGCTATACAAATAACTGTGCCTTGCCTTGCCCATGGCCCATTTTCCAAACAACAACTCCTATACATCTCCCATATTTTTCTCCCATTATTTCTCTTTCCCCCTGCTTCGCCATCTCTCACTCCTCACAACATGCCACCTCATCTACATTCTCAGAGTATTTTCGTGTTGCCTTGGAATCAGCACAACTCTGCACAGTAAAGTCTCGCCCCAGGCCGTCGGTTGGTAATAGCTTTTCTGACAGCAATACACCAATATTTACAGAGACCAGCGCAGCCACCAGCCCACTATAAAAAGCCACAATCTCATATATTTCTGCCTGCACATTTATTACTATAAATGCGTTTTCCTGCAGCTACAAAGTTAATTAGCACGCAAGCTAGGAGGGGGGGCGATATAGAGGCACGTGAGGGAATATTTGGCATGATTGGGCTCACAATTTACAATTTTGTTGTTGTCAAAGCTGGTGTCAAACCTTGGCTTCTTGATGGATTGATTATAGAGTATGTAGATTTGCGGCAATAATATTGATCGACGACAGATGGCTATAGTAAACAAGGCTCTTCATAACAAGCCAATTCAATGTGGCGTTTATGGTTCCTTCGGGGTTCGGGAAACTGGGCGTCTTTTCCCAACAATGCAAGAGTATGCTCCACGTATGCAAATCAATCTGTGTCAAGGCAACGGACAGTTTCAAAGCTCTTGACTCGATTAAGTAGTCAAATGGTGAGAGGTTGGAGATGAATAGAATATTGGAAAATGAATGGTAAATATAGCCAGATAGTCCTGGCCCTTTACAAGGATATCTAAGATCAATCCAAGATCAATCCAAGATAGATCCAAGATGGTAGAAGTCGCAAGCAGTGATTGATAATATGGTATACAGTATATCCACGCGATTTTTTGGCAACATCTCAAATTGCAATGAGATTGCTTATAAAGTTGGGTTTTGTCGAATCCACAATGAATGGGTTTCTCACTTTTCCCATCGGGTTAAGAGTTGTTTCTTGCCGATGCAGGAGGGTCTTGTGAGCCTTGTGAGGTCTAATTAAAAGGACAGTGGTAATGATCCAGGACACTCAACTTTCAACTACATTCATAGACATTTATCAACACTTATGGACATTGGTCATCTGCCCCTCATGGACCAATACCAATATGTTTTGTGTTTTACTTCTTGTGTTGGAACTGTTTGATTTTTCATTGGCAAGTGATGAAAAATAAGTCAAAATTGTCTCAAATTTGGCTAAATGTGTGTTAATTTGAACCCATTTGGTCTGCCTTAAAACAAGATTAGTCAGTTGATCAAGAACAATTATTTTGTTTTAAAAAGACACAATAAATGTGAAGATAAAGCAACAGTTCTTGTCCCATCGGCAAGTCTTGTTTTAAGACAGTCAGAATGTGCTCAAATGAAGATTAAAAACCACTCAGTTCAAGCCATTATTACCTCATACTTTATCATTTTTTGCAGTGTATTATTTGTTTTGAAGCCAGTGTTCCTTCTATCTCTGTTAACGCTTTTAGTCCTTCACATTTTGTCTATAATCTTCCTTACCCACCATTTTTGTCTTCTTCCTGTGTGATGCATACACAGACGGAAAAGAGATTACCCGTGCGTTGCATTTCGATGCCAAGAACTGCCTTGAGATCATACCGTATACTGTATATATATGTTGCAAATATACCGGAATTGAAAGAGTAATCAGAAAAGTGCTTTAAAGCAAAAGGCTGTTTTTCAGTCGAGAACCCACGAGGAACGATATAATCTTAATATTGACGAGCGAAACAGATGGGGATGTTACGAAACCAAAACACAATTGAGTTACAATGAGGAGGTCTAATAAATGTCACGCTGAGCCGATGTAATTAATAGGTAAAAATAAAATCTATTAAAATGCATGAAGCGAAGAAATGGAAACTGCGATTGGGAGAATGCGTTAAAACTTTGAAATTGCTTGAAACGTGATTGTAAATAATTAGATTTGTAGTACATAGCAAAAAGTGATGAAAAATAGGTCAAAAACTGCTCAAATATGGCAAAAATGTTGTTAATTTGAGCACATTCTGACTGTCAGAACAAGATTTGCCATTGTGACAAGCAGAATTATATTGTTTTAACACTAAAATTCTCATAGTAGTCAAATTGACGGCTTTTAGATTTGTATAAGTCTTGGACTTAATTTTTCATTTATCTATTTTAGTTTATTGTAGTTTACTTCTGTCCTTATCATTAAGAAATTAACGTATTCATTTTGAAATGTGAGTGGTTCTATCTTTGAAAAGTGAGAGCTGGTTACTATAGCAACCTGTAACATTTAGGTCTTTAGCATTTAGCCTTTCAACAAACTGTTGTGGCACTTAGTAAAAGTGAGTTAAGTTGAAAAATAAAAATCTGGGGGAAACATTGAAAACTTGATGGCAATGAATTAAATAATGTATTGTATTGAAATGTATTGTATTAATGAATGTACTGTATTCATTAAAGCATGAATTATTTTTATTATTTGGTAATCCACTCGTCTTAACTGGGACCCGAAGAAGATTAGCAACCACATTGGTAATGTGGGATCCCCAATAAACAATTAACAATAAACAATAAACTTCATTGGGGAATTTCTTAGAATTCCATTGATTTGAATAGGATCAGTCAAAATGACAGCTTTTGGAGTTCTAGTAGAAAGTTCTAGAATTTACTCAAATTAAGATAAATACCACTCAACTCAAACAAGTATTACCTCAGCTTTTTTTTTTGCCATTTGCAGTAAAACCACATTTGAATACATTTGCAAATGTGTGTGTGCATCAACAACAAAAATATGTATACATTTCACCACTTATTGTAGTGTAGGGAGTGGGATGACTAACTTCTTCCATGTTGGCTTTGCGTTTGGTGAGTAGCTGCGTGTTTGGGAGCTAAAGCCCAGAGGAGCAGAGGTTGTTGTTTATGAATGAGGCATTAGTAACAAGAGCAGTCCCACCACACTTCCTGGTTCATGGATTAACCGTTGCCTCGGAGATCGCCAGGAGCCATTTTCCGCTGTGATTCATAAACCAATAAAATAATGTAAAAGCGAATGCCAAGTTACACCGCTGCTGCCTCATGCCTTTTCCCCTTGTCAGTATTCGTCTTGGTTAAATCTGCTCTCAAGTGCGGCTGATTTTCATTTCTATTACGGTAATGACCTGTTACACGTCAGGCTCTTCATTATGAAGCAGCGACAATCGTTTTCTCGCCTCTCTGCGTTCTGTTCGGGCTGACCTCGTGCGTTATATTCCCCCTCTGCTCCTCTCATTATCCCCCACTACAAGATGGTGGTTGTGCCAGCGGCTCAGAAAGAGGCCAGAGCCGGAGTGAAGCGCGAGGTGAGAGCTGTAAGCGGATGAGGAGCTCTGGGGGAGAGAGGGGGAGAGAGGAGGAGGGGTGTGTGAAGGAGACGAATCGTGTCGGCCATGTTTGTGGACGCAGTGCTGTGGAGGCGTTCGCAGATGTGTTGGTGTGTGTGTTTGCGAGGCGGATAAGAGCTGAGGTGAGCCTAAGGATGATGGATTGCTAAACCTTGGACTCGTGTCCTTGGGGTCAGTGTGGGTGCTGTTTTCCTGAATTATTATTGGTCGGTCAAGCCTTCCCCAGCTGCCACGATGCTTCCTCATCCTCCTCTTCCTCTTCAAACCTCACAATCTTCCTCCAAACTTCGCAGACGCACCTTTGCTTTGGCGCATCACAAATGAGGCGTGTTGTCAAACAAGCCCACATCAGTTCAGACTGCCAGCACAGCTGTTCTCTCCAAAGAGAGATGGCAGGTTTCATAACGAGTTTGGAGCGCTACAGGCTCACGACTGTCTCTCCATCCGCACTGTTTAATCTCCAACCCACACCAGTGATCAAAGCTTGTTTACACACCACTCTATGCTCCGATTAGAGCTATGGAAGGAAGTGTTCCTTCCAAGAGCTGGCATCAGCGAGGCTTTGCTTCACAATGACATTTTCAGCATCTTAAACAATATTGTTTTCTTTTGCACATCAGAATCAAATGTAAGCAGGCCCAGCGCGGCTTTGGAACTCTGATGAACACCCACTATTTTATCATTGGTGAGCATATGGTGGAGAGGAGTGGGCAGAGGCAGATGGCTCAGACACTCCACTAATCTTTGTCATAAAGGTGTACTAACCGCAACCTCTGCTATACTTGTGTTTTTCCAGCCCGTGAGGAGTACGTGGCCACTTTCAAGGGCTCAGAGTACTTCTGCTACGACCTGTCTCCAAACCCCATCCAGTCCAGCAGTGACGAGATCACGCTGTCCTTCAAGACGCTGCAGAGAAACGGCCTGATGCTGCACACGGGGAAGTCCGCAGACTATGTGAACCTGGCACTGAAGAACGGGGCCGTGTCGCTGGTCATCAACTTGGGCTCCGGAGCCTTCGAGGCCCTGGTGGAACCGGTCAACGGGAAGTTCAACGACAATGCGTGGCACGACGTCAAAGTCACACGCAACCTGAGACAGGTAAGTGCTGAACCAGGGGGAGGGAGGAATCGGGCCTGAGAGTGGGAGTTTATGCTAAAGTAGTATCATTCAGTTGTGTATAAAATGTAAAGAACGTTGACGTATATTCTACATGTTTGCCACAGATGACCCCTACACTCTTTCTATTTAAATCATCTTTAAGCTAATTTGGCTTTTAAACAATTTAAACCCAATATTGTCATGGTTCAATGGATTAATTGGTCACTAAACATCCAAAAACAGTAGTCTTTTTCTACTGAATTTGCTTCCAAACTGTAATTGAGAAACTACTAACTACTAACTACTGCTTTTTAAGAGATGTAGGCCTTCTTAGACTCAATATAATGTGTATAACATGTTTCCCGAAAGCAGTTTTATCCTCTTGCAATGAAAATGTTCCTTGTTATGATGTGGCTTCCCTGTCAGCTCTTGTGTGAGTGCTTGGCCTGGTCCTCAAAGTGCCTCTATTGCAGCGAAGCTTTTTACAGACCTGGTGGTAGGAAGAAGACACATTTTTGCTTTTAGCTTTGTACAAATCCGGCCGATCCTGTGTTGTTCCGGTGCCCAAAAGGTGAGTTTTTCTTTCATTTGTGCGAATGGGAAGCGAGCAAACGGTTGAAGAACAATAGCGAGAGTTGTGACGGAGGTAAAGTGGGAATTTCTCTGCTGCTGTGGTCTGCTGTTTTGCCTGTATGTTTTTACTAACTAACTTTACTAACCTGCTACTGAAACTAACTTCATCCATGGAATGAATCATACTACTAACCTCTGCCCTTCTCCTTTAGCGCCACTAACTAACCACAAGAGGCCTACAACCTACAACCTTTTAGATTTATTTTAATTTCGTTTTTTGGGTTCCCGAAAACTTATATGTTATGTTCACGGTTTTTATTTTTTGCTTTTCCTTTCTGCCTCCTCCCCTTCTTCCTACAAAGCACTCAGGCATTGGACACGCTATGGTAAACAAAACTCCATTGTTCGGTAGCTATCATACTAATTGTTTATTAGTTTGGGTTTGCCCCGTTGTCTATTTACTTTCGAAAGACGTCAAAACTAGCCCAAAATCAGGATACGACTGGTTGGTAATCTTTTGTTAAAAAAAGCCCCCCCATTTCCTCTTTTGCCAACCACTTTTTTTGCTTTAAGCTTTTCCCTTTTGTATCAGTACGTCCTTTTTACTTCTTTGAATTCTTCCAAATCGTTTTCACACCATTGCATTGTAGGCGTACTAAGGCCCTCATTCCTAAATGCACGCATTACTATGGCCAGCCTGCCTTATTCCTGCATGGCGTGCCCTACAAAAATCTTCCCACTATTATTTCTGCTACAAATAAAGGTTCCCACTTCTTCTCCTCTCTGCTGCCTTTGCTTCTATTAACCGATCTTTCCTCTTGCATGACCGATCTTGCCTCTTCATATCCTTTCTGTGCATTAAAATCTATCCACCTGTTCGCTGCCTATGCTTGCATGCTGCACAAAACTAAACTTTTTAAAATGCATGCGTTTCAATGTGTGGAATGAGTTGTAATTGCGCTAACCCATCCTAACGTCTGTATGTCTACTGGAAACATGTGGTTTTTGAAAATAAATTTCATTCCAATTTGCTGATCTGACCTACCTCCCCAAATCACAAACTAACCCACTAACACCATTGTCACCCTAATATCACACAACAACAATACATCTGACTAACACCATCCGAATCTTCACATAACACTAACTTTTCAAGGCACGTTTTGATCTGAAACTGCAGGCGAACGATGAAATACTACTAACACAATACTAACTAAACTAACGCAAAATCAGAGGTGGGTACACACAGGAAGAACTATGGCCCATTACTATACTGTGTCTTAAAGGGGACGTATCATTGAGCTTGTTTGAAATGATTTAACTTTCTCATTTATAAATAAATGACATTTTAATGTTCAAAGCTCGACTATTTAACCTAACTTCCCTAACTGTTGGGGATTAAACAGAAATAGTCAATAGTCGTAAAAATAAAAAGATATGTTACATTTTGTGAACAAATCAGACATTTGCTCTAGAAAACATGCTATATTGGCTACTTGTTCAGAGCCCTGTGAGTCACTAATTGATGCTTTGGGCTGATTGGCTGAGTGAGGGTGGTCCGCTCTCAGCCAATCAGGATCTAAAGATGTGACAGAGGCCAAAAACACATGTGTGCAAAAACTAGTGATAGGACCAAACCGTTTTGAGAGCAAGGAACTAGACTTTAGCACATTTTTTGTTGTGTTTAGAAAATTATAAGCTATAAATTGGCATATAAGGGAAAGATATTAAAACACGTAGGACATATAGAAACGTGGCTTATTAATATTGTCCTATCAATTCTACTAAATTATAAAGTCCTTCTAAAAACTATTTCTACTAAAGTACAAGTCCAAGTATTAGTTCTAAAAAGTACTCTTGAACAATACCCACCTCCGATGACTTCACTAACAAGCCGCATGTATTATATTTATATTTGTTGGTGTCGAAAGGGGAGCAGTAGACCTCCGCTGAACGTGATAGACCAAATATTGCTTTTAGTTTGATCTGGGTCAAATGGTAAAGAAAACATCTGCTATCAAGCTGAAAGCCCTTTGAAGGCTTGGGTGAACCGGTTCAATTATTAAAATGACAATAGCCCAGAGTGCAGGAGTATACTGGACACCGTTTAGGTCCATCTAAGGGACAAGTAACATTACCAATACAACAATTAATGTTACTGTTTGTATATATGCATGAAGATCTTTAGCACAGGTAAAACATGTACTACAGTACTTGCTGGACTATTTAGCACTCCTGTGTACCAACTACATCAGAGAAAGTACATTTTGTCCACATATATAGGCCGCGCCTGAATATAAGACCCAGATTATAATGTAACACTTAAGCAACAGCTGATGCAGCAAAAATACATCCGATAAACGACTGTTTTAACTGGTCATTGTTGTTTTAAGACATATTTGGTAAATAACTATAATTTAACTCATTTACCAATCTATTTAGAAAATAATGTGTGTTTAGTAGCTACTATTACAACTATTTTCTTTGGGATCAATCAAGTATTCATCTATCTAGCTACCAAGTAAATTAAGTGGATAAACACTACTCTGATAACAGCCCTAATCAGTCCTAGTCCCTTCTTCCCTGCACCCTAATGGATTCCACAGTAAAAATAGATCCATTGCCTGTATTGCTGTATAGGCCGCAGGGTTCAAATAACTTGCAAAAAGTAGAGGCTTATAGTCCGGCAATTACAGTAATTGGCCTGTAGAGAGTGTGCCTGCACATAATAGATGATAATCGAACGTCTCAATGAATTTTGGAATATTATTGCAGCTATTCTAAAAATCTAGTTTCGTTTTTTTCCACTTTCATTTTGCCTTAAAATGAAAGAGAACTTCTATTGAGCCAAATGATAAAATAACTTTGCATACCATATCTATGATTTGACTCCGACAGAACTATAGTTACCACGGATGATTTGTGACATCCCTTAAGCTTTGTCTTGGTCAAATAATTTTATTAACCAAATCGATGATCAACATAATTGTAAGTTACACCCTTAAATAAAACTAGCATGTTCGCACTTAGGCTGCAAAGTGCTTAGTGTTTAGGTTGCAGCTTCCTTGCAGGTAGCCAATAATGAAAATTGTCTCTAATTGGTGACGACTGCTCATTGGAAGTAGCATTCTAACGTAGCCTCTGAGCTAACGCTGACATTCAGAAAGAGTGAATGTCTGTAATGACTACAAATGCACCACTTTGCAACACACTCTTGATCCATTCATACCAATTAAAAGTCCCCAGCAGCTTCTTGGACTTGTACCCAATTCAATCACACACACACACATATACACTCACACACACAGACACACACGCATACACACACACACACACACACACACACACACACACACGCATCAGCATTGGGGCTAATTGGGCTGGTCAGCGCCTAGCTTTCGTTAGCCTAGCGCGCTGCCTTTGCTGTGAGTATATAGCGTGTCCTTTCCCTGTGCTTTGTTGTGTAGGTGACCATTTCTGTGGATGGCATCCTGACCACCACGGGCTACACCCAGGAGGACTACACCATGCTGGGCAGCGACGATTTCTTCTACGTGGGAGGGAGCCCCAGCACCGCCGACCTGCCGGGGTCCCCTGTCAGCAATAACTTCATGGGCTGTTTGAAAGAGGTTTGTTTGTTTGCTTTTTTTTTTTTTTTTAGATCCACAGCTACTGAAATGTACAGTTATAGCTGTTCGTCCTATATGCTCGCCAATGTCAAGTTGAAAAAATAGGCAAAAACAAAAATACAGAAATGGTATAACAAAAATACACAGTAACCATATAGAAACCCGCTCAAACAAACACACACACACACAGACAAGAGTTGTATGCACAGCTAGAGTAGAAGCCTGTCTCACATTTTCAGGAAGACTGTTCCAGAATTTAGCTGCATAAATCTTAAACGCTACCTCCACATATTTAGTCCTGACTCTGGGCACCGGCAGGAAGCCAGTCCCTGTGCTCTTCAGAGTCCCAGCAGGAGGCCAGTCCCTGAGCTCCTCAGAGTCCCAGCAGGAGGCCAGTCCCTGTGCTCCTCAGAGTCCCAGCAGGAGGCCAGTCCCTGTGCTCCTCAGAGTCCCAGCAGGAGGCCAGTCCCTGTGCTCCTCAGAGTCCCAGCAGGAGGCCAGTCCCTGTGCTCCTCAGAGTCCAAGTTGGTTCACAGTTAATGTATCATCAAAGTTGATAAGACACAAGTTCACTTTCAAGTAGAATCATTTGCTCTTTCAACGGTCCACCAAAATCTTATTGCAGAATGTAAAATGAAGTCTGAAGTCACAGTCCATTGCCTTCTATTTTTAAAACATTAAAAATCGATTATTTAATGCTACACCACAATGATAGGCATCACTTTCTCCCCATTGCATTCAGTCACGCACACATTCCACTCACATTATCTCCAAAAGCGCACGCAGCCTCAATTAGACAAAAACTGAAATATATGAATTAAAAAATAGTTCCATTTGGCAAACGCTCTGCAGCATCAGACAGAATCAGTGATGAGTGCCGTTGAGGGAGTGAGACTTGCACTGAGCGCTAACATGCTAATTAGCTACGCCACAGAGAGCCGCTGTGCTCGGAGTGGCCCGCATCGCTACGGCAACGGCACAGTGACACATGCGGTAAGTAACGGCAGACAGCAGTCAAATCCCAGGGAAAATAAATGAATTAAAATACAGCTTGAATGAACATACGAACGCACAGCAGTTAGCACAATGAAAGCATAAAGACAAAAAACAAACAAGGGAACGAGCAAACAGCGGTGAACCATGGAAACTGAACTACGGGAGACAGAAAAACACATTCGTTCGTTAAGATAAATACTGCTGCTTCCTCATTGTATGTGGTTCAACTAGGAGCCAATTTCCTCCTGGACCTAACGCAAAATTAAACATATTTATCCAGCCTTTTCAGATTCTAGTTTGAAAAGAACAAATATTGCACTATTTTTGCTCTATAAGAAATATGGTATTATGGTCGCTGGTAACTGTTACTTTTACCAGACTCTTTCTATTCGGGCAAACAACAAGATTTATTCATGAGCTTAACAAAATATAGGTATCCCAGCTTTAAAGGGCAAAATATACACAAATATAACGTCATATTTATTCAGCCTTTTCCTTCCCGTAGTCCTTAAACCACACAGAGCTGTTTCCCTAACCAACCGTGAATGCTTTTTTTTCCCTTTTGCTGCAATTTCACTCTTTGCTAAAGTCAAAACCTCCCCTGCACGCCACATTTACATACTTAATACGATCATATGATAAACCGCTGCAGCGAAATTAAGACTTATGCAATGTGAATCACACGCTTGAGCAGTGATTGGCTCCTTCCCCTCCTACACGCGCCCACTGTAATGCCAGGAACACCGATTTGTATTCAAAGTCCCCATTTTATACGTCTTGATTGAGCCAGCACACACACACACACACGTACACATACATATATACACACACACGGACACACACACGGGTAATGTAAAGGGCAAATTATCAAAGCCGGCGTGAACAAAGACGATGATAAAAGTGGGCAGGCTTTCATGTAGCTTCTGTGAACTTGTGTGTGTTTTTTTTAATAATTCAGCATGCAGCATTAAAACAGTGTACTTCTATTAACCTTACGGCCATAGAAACCTGCAATACTTTAACCCGGGTCAAAACATGTTGCTTGGGTAATTAGGGTTTTAGATGTTACGATAAATGCTCCGTAAGCCTTTGTGAGCGCTCAGTGCCTCGGCCAATTTCCAGCCAACACAAAAGCAAAACACTGCCTCTGTTCAAATAGTAGATAGTGGCTTCATTTTATCCAGACTCTAGCAGCGAAGAAGGATATATAGAACAGTTGACTAAAAATCTTGCCCAGTTTTTTCCTAGTTTTGAAAAATATGGCAATTGCTACTTTCCTTTTTGCGCAGGAGGCTAAAGAATGCAAAATAAATCATGCGAAATAGGTTGCATTCATGTTGGAGAATTCAATTTCAGCTGGAGGGCAAGTGCCGATACAAAGTTTTGGATGAAAATATCCATCCATCCATCCATTTTCTTCCCCTTAATCCCTTTCTGGGTCGGGGGGGTGGCAGTCAGAGCTGCACCCAGTACACAGAGCACCAGCCCCTCACTGATCCTCCTGCAGGTGGTGAGTCCACAGGAGCTGAGATCTTTCAGTGGGGGCTTCAGGCAAAGTGGGGTTAAGTGTCTTGCCCAAGGACACAACGACAGCAGTCATCAGTGGGAGTTGTGAAGTAGGTCTTGAGGTGGGCTCGAACCCACGACCTTCAGGCTCAAAGGCCAATGCTCTACCAACTGAGCTACTGTCGCCCCCGGCATTATTAGGGTTCACCCGGCTGGATGAAAATATTGAAAAGGAAAATGTCAAAATTCTACTCAAATCAATTACGTTTTATGTTGCATATAAATCACAACTGCAGTCGGCAATAGATCAGAGAATAAAACAGAACACAGAAATTCAATAATAACAAGCATGTAGGAGCCATTGGTCCAAAGGGAGCGGGATGACCACTGTCCATAAATCATCACTGTCCTTTGACCCTTTGGCATCAGCAAGGAACAACTCAAAAAGCCAGAGGGATTTTTTTTCCCAGCTCATTATTTGATAGGGATAAGATTCACAAATCTTCCATGTTATTCTTATTTCAACAAGTTCTTTCCACTGACCAATATACAAATTCTCCTATGTGTTTGTTATTATTGCATTTCCTGTGTTTAAACAGTTTGATTCTCTGATGTGTTGTTGGTGAATCAACAAGATTGTAATGTCCTCCTCTTTTGGGCTGTACAAAAATAGATTAAAGGCATGCATAACAAGAAAGCTTGACAACATTTCTTAAAATTACCACTATGCACAAGTACACACTATAGACATTTAGCATTAGACATAAAGTGACAGTAGTAGAAAGTGTAGTGGTATAATATAGGCCCTGCATTCCTCCCATCGCCTCTAGGTTGTTCTTGCTACTTCTCTACTACTTGAAAAATAGCCGCAGTGGAGGTATCTCTCTCGTTTGCTGCTGCGGCCTTATAAAAAACTCTGGCGTAATAAAGCGTTGCCTGTTTGCACACATCAAAATGCCGGGCACAGTGTCTGCTCCTCCTCCGCACTATCACTGCTCACTCAGAGACCTCACTGTGTCCGCGCTGCGAGAGACTATTCTTAAGGCTATTTTTTAGAGTTTGAGTTTTAACTGCAATACTGCAAATGTGCCGGCAAAAAAAAAATTGATCACAATTTCCGTCCTCGCTCATGCACTCGCTAACAATAGCTGGGTCATTTTTATGTCGTCGTTATAGTCCAGGGTTTCAAGTTCATATCCTATGCTTTTGCTGAAAGAGTCGGCTGTGGCTATCTGAATGAATGAAGCCAGGATAATTCATGGGGTTGAGAGATGTGAATGCAATGTCAAAAAACTGCTACTATAGAAATCCACTGTAATATTGTAAAAACACTGGACAGCACAGCTAATTCAAACAAAATTAGTAGTTCAATTCAATTCCATCTGTTTGGCCCTAGCATTTCTTGACAATTTTTCAACAACAGACAACAATTTTAACAAAAGAAATGCAATAATAATTGGTTCAGAGCGGGATGGCCAGTGTCCATAAATGTCCTTAAAAGTCCCAGATCTTCACTATCCTTAGACCCTCCTGCATCAGGCAAGGAACTACTCAAAAACCCAGTGGGAGTAAAAAAAATGAGAAAGCTTAGGGAGGCTCAGGGAGGCTCATATTAAGAGAGGGATTTTCTCCATCTTTATCTGCATATTTATTTTATTTCTATTTTTTTATTTTATTTTATTTATTTTATTTATTTTATTTATTTTATTTATTTTATTTATTTTATTTATTTTATTTATTTTATTTATTTTATCTATTTTTATTTTGGATGGGACAGTGCGTATTAATGAACAGCAGGAGCTAATTTTCATTTTTTTGTCCCACAGTCCCAGAGTTGCACTCACAAACACACTCATTCAACCCTCACCTATTGCACATGTTTTTAGTGAGCACTTTTAGCCTCTCCCTTCCTTTTGTTTAAAATACTTGTAGCTAGTAACAAAATATATAATGTCTTACTGCATGCTGTGGTCTGATTTGTTCACGATATGTCACTTATTTACAAGACTGTAGGGGACAAACTTATTTATGGAAAAAATATTGTCACCTTTAACAACTCTATAGAGACAGATCAAACTATGTTGAAATGCTAAGGATAGAGCTGAAGAACTGATGTCAAATGCAGTCAACTTTGAACAAATAACCTCCACATAGCTTTAAATTTTGCCTGAATCTCTTTTGGATTAAAAAAAACAGTCAAAAAAAGTGTTGTTGTGTTTAGGTGAGGTCCAATTTTACCATGTAGCCTTTTTACGGCTACATGGCGGCACGGTGGCTGAGTGGATAGCACTCTCGCCTCTCAGCAAGAAGGTCCTGGGATCGAATCCCGGTCAGACCGGGGCCTTTCTGAGTGGAGTTTGCATGTTCTCCCTGTGTCTGCGTAGGTTTCCTCCGGGTGCTCCGGTTTCCCCTACCACAAAAAACATGTCCAATAGTTCTGGCATGCGCCTCCTGTACTGGCGACCCCGCTCCTATCTCTCTGTGGAGTGAGAGGACAAATGCCCAAAAATTAACAATTGTAAACTGCTTTGGGGGGAGGCTTAGGGGGAGGCTGCTTTTCAGATCTATGCAGCTAAAGTCTGGAACAGTCTTCCTGAGGATGTGAGACTGGCTGCCTCTCTGTCAATGTTCAAATCCATGTTAAAGACTTTTCTTTTTTCCTGTGCATACAACTAGAGAATTTTATCTTTTTAACACACCTTGTTATTTATTGTTGTAACTTTTTGTGTTTTTTACTATTTTATTGTTTTTAATTACTTGTGTGATTCTTATGTTTTTAAATTACTTATGTGATTTTAATGCTTTTTAATTACATATGTGTTTTTAATTGTATTTTAATGGTGATGATTTGTGCATTGTGTGGTGTGGACTGTGAGGCGCTTTGTGTTGCCCTGTGCAGGAAAAGCGCCCTATAAATAAAGATTGATTGATTGATTGATTGATTGAGACTCAGATCTGCAGTGAAAAGGCGGTATATAAATAAAGATTACTTACTACTTACTTTAGCATTTGTCATATCCTTTAAGTAACACATGCATTTCCTTAAAAACGAGATGAAAAGTTGCACATACTATAGTTTTGTTAACATATTCCGACTTCCAACTACAATGAGCTATTCTCAAAATGTCCGCCGAACAAGACAAGTCCACATAATTGCCTTCCTTTGCTGCAGGTGTGATCCGCCGTCGCACATCTTCAAAACAAATCCAGCTATTAGCATGTTTTTCTCCAGATAGTATGTTTTTCTCAGGTTTGAAGCTGACATTTTCTTTTATTTTTTCCCATTATTAGGTTGTGTACAAGAACAACGACGTGCGGTTGGAGCTGTCGAGGCTGGCCAAACAAGGAGACCCCAAGATGAAGGTACGATTTTGAGTTTACAAGTAATCTACAATGAACAAAGAACACTGGGTATTTTAGGATTTGCCTGTCTTTGGTCATTCTCTGGTGTCTTTCTATTGTTTCTCTCTGGTATCTCTGTCTCTCTCTCTCGCTGGTCTCTCTCTGGTTTCTGTCTATGGTCTCTCTCGTGTCTCTCTGGTCTCTGTCTATGGTCTCTCTGATTTCACTCTGGTCACTCTCTCGCTCTCTCTCTCTTACTCTGGCATTACTTGGTGTCTCTCTGATCTCTCACTGGTATCTTTCCTATTTCTCTCTGGTCTCTCTCTGGTATCCATCTTATCTCTCGCGGGTCTCTCTCTCTGGTCTCTCGCTCTGGTCCCTCTCTGGTCTCTCTCTATGGTCTCGCTTTCTGATTTTACTCCCTCTCTCTTATCTCTTTCTGGTCTCCATCTCATCTCTCTGGTCGTTCTCTCTGGTCTCTCAATGGTCTCTTTCTGCTCTCTCTTCTCTCTCCCTCTCACCCTCCTCCTTCTTCCTGATAGGTGAGCGGAGTCGTCTCGTTTAAATGTGAAAGCGTAGCCACCCTGGACCCGGTCACCTTCGACACCCCAGAATCCTTTGTCTCTCTGAGTAAATGGACGGCCAAGAAGGCGGGCTCCATCTCCTTCGACTTCCGTACCACCGAGCCCAACGGCCTCATGCTGTTCAGCCACGGCAAGCCCAAGACCCAAGCCCGCAAGGACCCCCGCACCCCTCCCACCGTCAAGGTAGAAAAATCAGTGAGTCTACGGGTATTTCAATTGACTTTTTGAGCTTCACGCCATGTTTAAATGAATGATCCTTGCAAAAACACAGCAAAGACGTCCAGATAGGGAGCTTGATTTCATCTGGAACGCAATCTATTTAGCGCATTCGTATATCTGGGTATTTAAATTAATCCATTGCAAAAATTTGTTGAGTTGTAATCTTGATTCAAGTACAATTTGATCTGTGTTAAAACCAAATTGCAGATATAAGAAATATTATTGCAGTCATAATAAATTATTGTCATGTGAAAACCAACTTTTCATAAAAATAAAAATAAACAAAATATTTTCATGTCCCAATGACAAATATGGTTTTAAGACAACTAACATTTACAAACCATTATGTTGAAATTGACCTATATCAAGCAATTCATGACTTAGTGTGACCGAAGTTTGAATAGGATAAAATTGGTCTTGATTGAATCTGTCCAAAGATTCAATTTCGGAAGCATCTTCAGGCACCAGTTCAAGAGCAATTGCATGTTTTTGCTCATTCCAAATTAGAAATGATTTGTCCCTTCCATATTCTAAGGACCTACACATAGTTTTGTTCTTTGAATTGTCAGAAACATGCATGTTACATATTTACATAATTGCAAAATTTTGTTAATGCTAGTTCAATCATGGCAAAGAGAAACAATCTATCCTAAATAAGTTGTTGTACTGCGATATTCTCATAATCTAACTCCATCTGGTTACTTTCCAAATGCATTTGAAATCTAAAATAACCAGTATATGCGTTTTTATATTGAATAATTGGTGAACATAAATCAAGGAACATGGTCAAAATCTCAAAACAGTTGAATATGGGAGCATGTTGTGGCCTCAGTGTCTCTGTGGTAAAGACTGAGCCGGGGCTGGACTTGTATCACCAGGTGGACTTCTTTGCCATCGAGATGCTGGACGGACACTTGTATCTGTTACTGGACATGGGATCAGGGACCACCAAGACCAAAGCCATCGACCGGAAAGTCAACGACGGGGAATGGTACCATGTGGACTTCCAGAGGGACGGCAGATCAGGTAAAGAATCGTACCATGTTTTCATTTGGCTAGATGCTCTGGTCTCTCTCTATGAAGTTTCTATGGTTGCTCTCTGGTCTCTCTCTATGGGCTCTCTCTATGGTCTTCTATGGTATCTCTGTATGGTCTCTCTCTGGTCTCTTTCTATGGTCTCTCTCTGGTCTCTCTCTGGTCTCTCTTTATGGTCTCTCTCTATGGTTTCTATGGTCTCTCTATGGCTTTTTAGGGTCTCTCTCTGGTCTCTCTCTATGGTCTCTCTCTATGGTCCCTCTCTGGTCTCTCTCGTCTCTCTCTCTCTGGTCTCTCTCTCTGAACTTTCTCTGGTCTATGTTTATTTTATTTTATTTATTTTTTTAAGGATTTGCTCAAGAAGGGGTTAAACTTTAATTGTATGGCACTAAAATATATCTGGCCTTTCAAAATACTACTCTGTATTGGGCCAATTGTAAGCCTTTCAAATATTCTAATGGCACTTATCTGTTATCAAGTCTGAAATTCACATGTTTTTCCGATAACATTACACACATATAGTTTTGGTTCCGGGGGCAAATGGAATAGAAATAGTGTTGTCTAATATGCTTTTGTTGGTATAATTAAAATCTCAACTCAACATTAAACCATTCGCTGCTCTTCTAAAATGTCATTCTGCTTGGATACGAACAGAAAGACCACTAATGCTTACCCTGTTTTGTGAAATGGTTGTTTTTTTCGGTCCTGGCATAAATTATAGGACTCATGCATGATACATGAGGTTATTACGTGTGTTGTGTTGTATTGTCTTACTCTTGTGAATGTGGCCTGTACTTGAGAATGCGTTTTTTTTTTAACCTTGAATCAGCGCTTAACATCTGAATGGACTCAAAATGATGAGTAAGGCATGAGTCAGCCGTGCGGGAAACGAATGGTGGCTGTAGCAATAAGAGCGAGTCTATTACGTATGTACTTGGGTTTCAGATGGGTGACCATATGGATCCAACCAATCATATTTGAAATGGGCAAAAGTCCTCAAAAAGGGCGCTATACCAGGACGCTGATACCAATATATTACATACATATTTATTACAGCAGGATTACTATTGCTACAACACATTAAAAAGTCTTACAGCAGTTTGAACCCAGCTTTTAGTATTGTATTATTACATATATTATACTGTAAATGGCCAAAAAATCCCACACCTGCCCTGAGGTGGAAGACCATAGCAACAGATCTCTGCTTCTATTTGAAAGTTGATCCATGAATGTGTTTGTGTGGCAGGTACCATCTCGGTGAACAGTGTACGGACGGCCTACACGGCTCCTGGAGACAGTGAGGTCCTGGACCTGGACGACACGCTGTACCTCGGGGGGCTTCCAGAAGACCGGGCTGGGCTCATCTTTCCCACAGAGGTAACAAAAACTCTCCTGGAAATATAGCGTCTATGTGGTGAGAATGAGTGCTTTGTTTAAGTCTCTCTTTTCAAGTACTTTTAGCTTAGCCTCTATCATCAAGTATAGTTAGCTTAGCCTCTATCATCAAGTATAGTTAGCTTAGCCTCTATCATCAAGTATATAGTTATCTTAGCCTGATCATCAAGTATAGTTAGCTTAGCCTCTATCATCAAGTATATAGTTATCTTAGCCTGATCATCAAGTATAGTTAGCTTAGCCTCTATCATCAAGTATATAGTTATCTTAGCCTGATCATCAAGTATAGTTAGCTTAGCCTCTATCATCAAGTATATAGTTATCTTAGCCTGATCATCAAGTATAGTTAGCTTAGCCTCTATCATCAAGTATATAGTTATCTTAGCCTGATCATCAAGTATGGTTAGCTTAGCCTCTATCATCAAGTATATAGTTATCTTAGCCTGATCATCAAGTATAGTTAGCTTAGCCTCTATCATCAAGTATATAGTTATCTTAGCCTGATCATCAAGTATGGTTAGCTTAGCCTCTACCATTGAGTATGATTAGCTTAGCCTCTTTCATCATTCATGATATTAGTTACTATTTGGTGCCTTTCGCTAAGGGAAATTTTGTATTGTATTTTAGGATATAGTTAATTTATCTTGTGTTGTGTGCTCCTCATTTCTGCTGTTCTGTAACTGGTAGTGCAACACTGAAATTTCCTCTCTGTGGGACGCAGAAAGGATCTCTTAATCTTAACTAACAAACGAACTCCAGTGAGGTGATAAAAGCCCACTCAAACGTCTACTGCACCTGCACTTTCAAAGATTTTTTCCTGTATACTTAGGGGTGTCACAGAACCTGCCATTTGCAAACGTTTATATGAATCATAAAGTTTGCTTCTAACAGTGACGTTGAAAAATAAGAATGATATTTATGAACTGGAAAACTATGTATGGCAGCCATTTACTTTTATGTTCAACAAAAGAAAAAGCGCTACATTTGCAGCTTTGTGAGTAAGACAATAAGACAGTCTCCTGGCCTTTATGTCCTCCTACAATAGACCTGATTGCAATGGCCCCTTTCATATTACCTCATTTTCAAAAACAAATTTCTCTGTGACCATAGCTTCAATTATATTGGATTGTTTCTTTTGTGAAGCTCGCAAAAGCTAATTATACGTTGTTTATTCTTTTACCACTTTCACGTTCTGAATTCGAAGAGCTGTCTTGTTGTATTTAAAGTTAAAACATGTCTTAACTGTACGAGCTTAACCTGCTGTGGTTAATTGTGAAATAATTTGATTTAAAGTTGTAATTGTTGAGAACACAAAAACATAAATCACAAAGTTTGAACAAGTGGAGAAACTTAAATGATGTTTTTAATCATCAGACACAGACTTGGTGTTTCCAGGGCAACACAGATATAATCACACCAAAATAGGTCACATAGCTGATTCTTCTATCTGATGCATTGTTGAGAAGCAACTCGAACAACTCTAAACATCCAGCCATCCATCCATTTTCTTTCCCTGAATCCATTTCTGGGTCGGGGGGTGGCGATCAGCTGCCACCCAATTCACAGAACACCAGCTCCAACTCTAAACAAGAAAGATTTATTATGAGATACACTGGAAGGAATTCAAATAGAGATATAAAAATGAATTTCCCCCGGGTTTGGTGGTCAGAAACGGAGTGATGAGCCGGTGATATGGAGAAAAGTCAGTTAGGGAGGAGGAGGGTTGGGGCACAAGTTGAAGCTGTTAGATGCAGCAAGGAGCTTGTTAAACCATAATTTATCATCAATACATGAGGAAAATACATATATTGAAGTTTATGTTATGAGAAAAAGTCAAGTTTAATTACGTTTATAACTGCAAGTGCCCAAAGTGTTGTACACTCCACAAGGGAAAACAGATTAAGACACATTTAAAATCACAATTTATATACAAAGACAGACATACAAAAACTTAATGCCAGACTGTTCCAGAGCCTGGGTCTAGAGCCTGAGTCCAACCACAGGAAAGGCTCAGTCTGTGTTTTTATTTAGACCTGGGCACATCCAAAAGCAGCTGGGGGCAAAAGTCCACCCCCTGTGCTGTAAACAAACACACACTGGATACAAATCAGCTTCTTGTTTGCGTTGGCGATAGGTGTGGACCGCACTGCTGAACTACGGCTATGTGGGCTGCATCCGGGACCTGTTTGTGGACGGGCAGAGCAAAGACATCCGCAGACTGGCCGAGGCGCAGAGGGCGGTGGGCGTGAAGCCGTCCTGCTCCAGAGAACCTCCCAAACAGTGCCTGAGCAACCCCTGTCAACACAACGGCAACTGCAGAGAGGGCTGGAACCGCTACGTGTGCGACTGCTCCGGGACGGGGTACCTGGGTCGCTCCTGTGAGAGAGGTAAGGACCGCTGCAGTGTGCCTAGGTTAAAGAAGACATGGCATGATGTCTGCTATAATAAAGAGAACATCTATGAGTATGTTTACAAAGAATATGGAGTTGGCTGGTGTTGCTCCCAAACCGGTCTGACGACTTTGGTAAATGTGTCCTGTAACTTTGCCTTAGAACCTAAACTTTGGAACAGTAATTTCAAATCAAAGAGCTATCAAAATGCAAATGTCATCATGCAATATATCGGTTACTTTGAGCATTTAATGTATTGTTTTTAACTCATGTAGTGAAACCAAAATAAAATAAAACACCTGCCGCTCATGACTGTACTTCATAGAAACAATCAAAAGTTGCGTATGAGTGTCCAAACCCATGCCTTGGTAATGCAAGCACTGACATTCCCCTGTGCTCTTTAATGCATCTGCTGGCCTTGTGTCAGTAGTATCTGGTTTACGTGGTTACGAAATGGAAATGGTGAAGAAATGGTTCAATCCTGTTCTACCAAACAACTTGGATTTTCACTCTTCAATCTGTATGCTCGAGTTTACATGTGTCTTTCTCAATTCAGTTAAATTGGACTTGGAGAGTGCTACATTACATATTTGTAGTATTGTTGAAATTACATTAATTGAAAATTATATTATTAATAAAACATTTGCCCCATCGCTCTGCCCCTCTACACAATGTCAGCAGAAACGTGGTAGCATCAAAGACTCCACTCAGGCCGCAGATAAAGTTAACAATCAGCTAATTTCCCTTCTATCCAAAATGCCTTCATAGTCAGGAAATAAATAGCCAAACGAAGTAAGTAAAGGCAACATGGACATGATGTGGTCTGAGAAGACGAGGGAAGAAAGAAACAGAACCAATTAGCAAAGGTGCATCCGTAGCACTTTATAGTGTATTCAAAACCGTCAAATCAGTATAATAACAACAATACTCATCATATAATAATCATATTTCATACATTTACAATCTGTTTTCCCTCTTTCATGGGAAACATTGGGCCTAAAACTTTCATCTTAATCAATTTAACTGGTATAAATGTCATTAAATTATAAATCTGCAGAGGACACTGCGCTGAGGGGCAGGAGCAGGACTGAGGGTAACAGGAAGATCAAAGAGAGACCAGAGAGAGACCAGAGAGAGATCAAGGAGAGACCAGAGCGAGACCCGGGAGAGAGACTAGACAGAGACCAGGGAGAGACTACGGAGAGAGACCAGAGAGAGACCAGGGAGAGAGACTAGACAGAGACCAGGGAGAGACCAGGGAGAGACCAGGGAGAGACCAGGGAGAGACCAGGGAGAGACCAGGGAGAGACTAGACAGAGACCAGAGAGAGACCTGCAAGAGACTAGAGAGAGACCATAGAGAGACCAAAGAGAGAGACCAGAGAGAGACAGTGTCAGAGTATACACCTGGTGCATTAGCAAGCAACCGAACTGTGTTGTTGTACTACTGTATTATTGTGTTACCATAATCTACAAAACTTTATCTATTCCATGCAATGCTTTTAGAGACCAAACTACTCATTTTTGCCCTGTGTTTGAGATTTGTCTGCACCACTTAAGCAACGTGTTTTTAAGCAGCATTTATCTTCGTGCAAAGATCACTTCCAAATCCTCTTTCCTGCACCTTTTCATCGCACGTTCAAACTAAATCCACTAAATCACTTCTTTGAGTGATTTTTAATAGTCCTTGAAGTCTCTTAATGAGCATAAAACACCTGGAGTAAACGCAGTGGAGTGATTACAGGCCTTTTGCTAGTGTGAAGTATTGCACACATTTAAATGAGATAATATTAACATTTTTTGGGAATTTAATAGCGTTGAAAATGATAGTTGTAGCCTGGGTCTAAAAACACCGTCATGACTCATGTATCTGTGAGGCTTTCAGTTCCACAACAATGTGAAAGAGGAGAAAAAAAGATAGAAAGAGAGAGAAAAAAACATATTAGCAGTGGGTAGTAGTTGCTGAATTTGACTCATTCATTATTTAGGCTTTCCTTTATGCTTGCCCTAATTGTAAATAACATATAAAACACTAAAAGCTGCATAAATAATTTGAGTGGTACGCTAAAGTTCGAATGTTCAGCAGTTCCATTCCAATGGATATTTACATAAAGGCAATAATATATAATAGAAATTAATTTAACTGTTAACTAATGTGGAAAAAGTGCCTCCATGTACAGTATATATTGAAAATGTATCAAAAATCGTTTTATAATTGTTTATTAATTTATAAGCCTCTGAATTGTTCGTAATCAGAAAGCCTTTCCTCACAGTACACTACAGCCCACAACATACTGTCTTTGAAGGTGAAGGTGCACTTTTTTAACCCTGTAGCGCAATTGCTCCTCTGCATTTGACCCATAATGATGCTGCTAAGGCTTACGTCAGGAGCAGTGGTCGCCGTAGTACAGCGCCTGGGGACCATCTCCAGATTTTGATGCTTGGCTTGATGAGGACCAGAGATGGAGGATTTACCTCGTGAGCATGTTTTTAGTGCCAAGATTCTCACCCCTAATCATTCGTAGGAGCAGGAGTAGCAGCATTAGTAGTAGTAATAGTAGTAGTAGTGGCAGTAGGTGTAGTAGTATAATTGGCAGTGTGGTAGAAATGAGTGAATCTCAAAAATATTGGTTTGGTTATTACATTGAATACTTGACATTGCAAAAGTAGAAGTAGTATTAAAAGTATTATTACCATCAGTAGTGGTAATAGTAGTAGCACAAGGAGGAGCTCATGTTTTGGATACCACCTCCATGGGCTTCTGGAGCAGTCTGTCCCACTGAGAGGAGACCTGGGGGACTATGTGTCTCTGCTGGCCTGGGACCAGTTCCTTTTCCAAGATATGCTTGAAAAGGGAAGTCTCAACATCTGACGAAACTGCTGCCTCTGCAATTTGGCAACGGATAAAGCAGAAATAAATGGATGAATAAAGTGCAAAGTTAGTAATGTTTGTTAGCAGCAGCTTTAGTAGTAATAGCAGTAGTGGCAGGCAGTCACAAAGCTGCCTAAGTAGTTGCACAATTATTAGTCGTATGTGTCAGAGTGGTAATATTATTAGTAGTACTTGTGATCCATGAAATAGCAGTAGTAGTAGCAGCAGTGGTGGTACCAGTGTATGAGTAATATTAATAGCGCCTGACGCAGTAGCAGGCAACGATCGGGGCGAGCGCTGAGAAAATAGGACAGCCAAATTGAACATGCGACTAGAGACCGGCAACGTGTGAAAGAAATGCATGAGCGCGAACAGAAAGTCATCTTGTAGCAGCCTGAGCGCGGACGCCATCTTGGTTCACGGGGGGGAACGAAGAAGGAGTGTGTGTGTCTGTGTGTGCGTGTGTGTGTGAAAGAAAAACTGCAGGTAGAAGCAGAGAACGCATCCAATCACCGGCTCCATCTGCTCCTCCATCTGTGCTTCCTTTAAATCCACCCAACCACCAGTTAGTGACCCCTCAGTGAGCACGGGAACAGGGCCGGCAAAAACAAAATGAAGGATGGGGAAATAAAAGAACAGGTGAAGAGCAGCGACAACATGCGTGCTGGGATGCATTTGAAACAATTGGAGTTTTGTCTTGGGTTTTAGAGTTGGGGGGAACTGGTTATAGTTAAAGCACACACTAACACAAACACACACACCTTGGGACTACAGATGGAAAACTATCTTTCATGGCTAAATCTGGCATATTTACTATAACCTGTTGATTAATATGCACTGTACTCATACTCCCAAACACACGCTCAACCGTCACCTATTGTACATGTTTTTAGATTCATAGAATTAAAAGTAAAATATTGAAATGTTTGAGGAAAAGGACGGGACTATAGCACATAATAATAACAAAACTAACATAATCCTCGTAGTTTGTCTCAACAGAAATGGGTGGTACGGTGACCCAGTGGTTAGCGTTCTTCCTGTGTCTACTTAGGTTTCCTCTGAGTGCTCCGGTTTCCCCTACCACTAAAAACATGTACAATAGGTCTGACATACACCTCCTGTACGGCGAACCCACTCCCATCTCTGTGAGGAGTGAGACACAAATGCCCACAACAATTGTATAAAGCTTTTAGACTCAGGTCTGTTTATTGGAAAACGTTTAGCAAGCTAGCCTGGAGCTAATTTCAGTGTATTAGCATTAGTCTTTCTCCTAAACTAGGATATAAATAAAGGCATTTCTGAGTAATATTTTCACTCTACACTGCCTCTACGTTTATGGGTGTTTAGGAAGTGATTTTGGCGTCTGAATATATATATCTGAAGTACCGCATATACAGTCCTCTCGCCTCCATCTTCTTTACTCTAAGCACAGCCCTTGTATCCTTTGACAACATACTCATATCTCTGAGAGCGTTCGTGTTCTGCGATAGTGCAATCATTTCCCGAAAAGCGTCAAATATATAAATAACCAAAGTCCTCCATCCCGAACGCTCCTTTCACACTGGCTCTATCAGTCCCCCCTGTGCCAATCTCAAACCTGTATTTTCTTTTTCTACCTCTGCATTCATATATACCTCAGCTGTTCCAGACCAATGCTCACATCTGCTACTGCATCAGAATCAGAATCAGAATCATTTTTATTGCCAACGTAAGTAACGGGAGGTCACAGACTTGGAAATTGCTTTGGCTCAGTGCAACAGTCAAAAAGAGATAATAAAAATAAGAATAAAAAACACTTCTAAAGAATAAATTTAAATTTAAAATAGAGTTACAGTTACTATTTACAATATACAAGTGCACATGGTGCACACAATGTAAGGTGACAGCAGCACACAGCAGTACAGTGAAGTAAAGTGACGTATGATGGGCAGTAAAGTGACTTTATAAAGGGCGGGGGGACAGGTTAAGAAGTGTTCAAGAGTCCAACAGCAGAGGGGAAGAAACTGTTCTTGTGGCGGGAGGTTCTAGTCCTGATGGACCGCAGCCTCCTGCCTGAGGGGAGTGGTTGGAATAGTCCATGTGCAGGGTGAGAGGGGTCGGCTGTGATACGACCAGCCCGGCCTCGA